ATTTGAGTTGGGCAAACGTGTATTTATTTGTTAGATGTCAAATTTATATTTCTGAGTCGGATTACAATACAATTGTGTGTTAGAACAACAATTGCCATTTACTTTTTTAACAGTGTGGAGAGGATTGCAGAGGGAGCCTGTGGTCAGTGCTCTGTTACCCCCGGTGTGTCAGATCCTCAGCCAGCCCATTGTGCTGAAATTCAGTCACAATAGCACTGTATCTTCCCAGAGCAGGCCCCTTATCATGGCCCTGAAATGACTCGTCTCTCTGGATGCCTACATCACAGACGTTTTGGGTCTGAGCACACAAAGCTCGAGGTGAGCGAGCCCTTTGTTCGGCGCATGACAAAGTTGCTCACAAAACTTCTCGCTCTAACATAATCTTAGAAAACAATTTGCAGTTTATACCCTGAGCCACTGTTGCAAATAACTTTCACAGAACAATACATTGAAGGATTTTATTATAAATGATTCTATTGATTGAGCAGCCTATCCAGTAAACAGCTGTCATCTCATAATTTGTCACAACACGATGGTGCCTGAAATAGAAATGTGTCAGTCATCAATCACGCTGACTCTAGTTCTGTCAATCGACCAAATGCCGTCATGATAAATTGAATTTTTTAAGGATGTTTGTCAAAGCCAGTGGTTGTTATCTACATCTATAAGTAAAAAAATAAAATAAAAAAACTCCATGCATTTGTTACTTCACTCTGATAAAGCTCATAGTTAAGAGCGGCTCAGATAATCCTGAACTGTCTATATAGTTATGCTGCTATAGGCTTACACTGCTGGAGGACAAAGGGACCACTTTCAATCATTCTGCTTTATTCTATCTCTATTCTCCAATTCTGCAGTATTTGTTAGTTCCTGCTCCAACTCTGTGCTCATTCTGCATTTTTTCATCATGATAGCTTCATCTGCTCTGTTCCTGTTTGGCAGTGACATCACCCTGGAGAGAAATACTAGCTGTCCGGCTGCCATCAACAACTTTGTTTATAGATGTTGAAGGTTGGTCTGTTTTTCAGTGTAGTCCTGTTTCTCTGACTGTAACTAACTATTACTGTATGTGCTCTCTTTCCTCCTCCAACATGGAGCTGTCTTGGAGCTCATCTGCCTGGTTGTGTGTTTCCTGGATGGGGCTGCCTGTGGAGCTGGTTAACAGTCACCTTATGTATCCTCAAAATTGGAGTTCCACAGATAATGAAACTAGTTTATTATGCAAAGCTTTGCAACATATGAATGCTTTCATTTTTAGGGCTATTTTTTCTAGTATCCTCCTGGAAAAAAGGGCATGCACCAGGAACTCTAAAGCATTGTGCAATAATGCATGAAGAAAAATGGGAGGGATGGATTCCTGATGTAACTCGTGTTGCTCTGTGATTTGATCCAGCGGAAGGAAAATATTTCTACACTCCTGAGTAAAACGCATTACTTTATGCTCTCTGATCTTGTTAAAAGCTTACTGACTCCATCTAGTTAAAGTTAAGTATTAACCATGTATAATCAGACAGTTTTAACAAACTGTGTATGGGCAGGCCTCCACAGAACTCCCTCACCACTTGAATTGTAAAATGTTTTGCAGGCTTGCCCAAAGCTGAAATACCCATAGAGTTAAAGCAGTACAGTAAATTGTCCTTTGATTAAGTGGCAGTCTTATATGTGGAACAACACAGCCACAAAAGTCAGCTTCACGCATTATCCTTTTATTTACAGCACATATGAGCTATACAAAACACACTTGATGCTAGGGAGCTGATTGATTCAACCACTGTATGCTACAGGAATCAACTGGTGGGGAGAAGCTGCAGTAGTTTATCTACTGCAAAGTAATCTGGCAAATATGTATCATTTGGGGGCCAGTTCACAGCATTCTGCAGCACATCAAATTGTAAGCTTTATAAACGCCTCAATCCAGTGTGACAGATAGATATAAACAGTGCTTCAGTAAATAGAGATGACCCTTGAAGGTTACCATCATTCACTCACGCAGACTGATAAATGTTCCATAAAGGCTCATACAGCCTCGCTACAAGTTGACAAAAATCTGGCATCATAAAAAAACAGATATGTCATGTTCAAATCTGTTGAACTCCATTTGAAAGCCACTGCACATGCTAATGCAAAAGTATCAAACTCCTAGCAGTGTGTCTGGTAATAATTTTCAGGTTTAGGTTGATATCTATTAGAATTTGACCCTGTTAATTAGTGCCAAACACGTTACAAGATAATGAAATATCAAGGCATTGGCACGGCATTAAGTACAATGTTAACTGCTTGGCATTTTTCACTCGATAATCAGATCTAATCTGACATCAAGGCCATGTAATGTTAACTACACGGTCTGATAACAGTTCAGTTCATTTTCTGCACAGATTATACTACATTACTGCAGCTAAGTACAAAAGTCCTTCAATGTATGTAAGTACTGTATAGTGCTTTGCACAGAATTCGTCCCCCTTCAAATTTTAATATTTCATAAACCATAATTTTCAATGTATTCAATTTGAATTTTAACCAACAAAAATTGCAAAAAGAAATAGGAAATAGATGTCTTTTTAAATAAAAGTAGCTAATATGAAAGGTTTAGCTAGCATATCTGTTCAGCCCCTTTTACTCTTATACCCCTTAATAAAGACCATTAAAACCAATTTAGGATGGCTGAATTAGCGAATACAATCTAGTCATACTGTATAAGGCAAGGTAATAAACAAAAAAATACTTCTATATCTAAATCACTCAATGCACAAAGAAAAAAAGTTGAATCTGTGATAAAAAAAAAAAAGATTAAAATATAAACCGTCTAGACCTTGTTTAACATAATCTTTGCTATTTAAAAGTGTCTTTAGCTGCATTATTTTTAATGAAGTAAATCAATTCAGTGTGAAAAAGGTGGCAACACACTTTACAACCTGAGAACTATTGTTTAACAAAAAACAAACTGTCTTTTCTCACCAGCTTATCCAAGGTTTTGGGATGTGTTGTGAAGCACTTAAAAGGTCAGACAAGAAAGCTGAGTTTAGGGCATGCAGTGCTTCAAAGGTGTCGACTAAAATATAAAAATGAATTCTATAGTAATTGTGGAGGCAATATGAAAGTGCCAAAACAGGAGTTACTGTAAGTGCTCTCTTTCTTGTTTTGTTTAAAAGCCTAGCAGCAGTGTTCTGGACTGACTGGAGTGAGTTATTCTGTCGTTTTATTGAAGGTGTTAAAAAGGCTGTTACAGTGGTTCACATGGGAGGAGAAAAATGTTTAAAAACCACCCCCAACTCAGTTTCTGACACGAAGCAGAGCAGAGCCGTTTAGATATATTTTTCAACTAAACTAACCTTTTTTTTTTATATTTTCTTAAAATGAGCCTTAGAGTTCAAGACAAAGCCCATGTCAAGCTTTATGCGGTTTGGCTGGAAAATGAAAGCCATCATACCTAGGTGTTGTTTGATATCAAAACTGTGAGTGTCAGGATCTATGATCAGACTCTGTTTTATTTCACACTTCGGTAATATAACAAAGTCTCAACACATCATACAGAACTCTTTAATCTATGATCTCCAAACAGAAAGAATATGGAACAAATGGAAACCGAATCTAAATTTAGCTTTAATGAAATAATGAAAGAAGAATGCAATTGTTAGACAAAAGCTCTAATCCTATTTACAGTCAGGCTCAATCTATGTAGGGGCCCCAGCACAAAAAAAAAAAAAAAGTTGCTCTAGTCACATGAAAACTACTTAATTTTTTTTGCTATCTCCGTAAAAACACTGTGCACATAGTGGAATAAACCCCACCCAAAAAACAACCGACTATGCACCCTGTTACCTTCTTAACAACTTCGCTTCAATGAAACATTAAATACAGCATCATGTTTAGGGAAACTATCTCAGCAAAACCAGTGAAGTTGAGATAGTTTTACGATGCATGAAGCTAAAAATAACACAATTCTGAAAAAAGAAAAACAATAAAAAAAATATATATATACATTATATATATATATATATACATATATATATATATATATATACATATATACATTATATATATATATATATACATATATATATATATATATATATATATATATATATATATATATACATATATATATATATATATATATATATACACATTATATATATATATATATATATATATATATATATATATATATATATATATATATATATATATATATATATATATATATATATATATATATAAACAACCAATACAGGCTACAAAAAACACAAGACTGGACACAGTGTTCACCTTTTAGTTGGGTAAATATATTTAAGAAATTACTTATTGTACCACATAAGAACCTTGATGCTACAGCCTGAGCTGCAGGGACAGTTGCTGAGATGATTTATTGTAATGGACCAGGTAAAGTTCAAACCTCAGTCTAATTGAAAACTCTTTCTCTAGGCATCCAAATATAGACACATAGCTCAAAGCTAGCCGGTTTTAAAATGGCTTAAAAATATTGACCCATGGAGAAATATACAAAAGCAATTTTATGAATTTTCTATATTGAAAAGATCCTTTCATCTACAGTAACAACAATGCAGTACTCTTTGTGGTATATTGTAAAAATTCCCCAAATTTACATTAAGGTTTGTGGTGGTAACGTGACAGTGTGTGAAAATGATAAAGGTGTGTAAAAAATGTTGCATGGTCCTCTAAATGAGATTATCACCGTTTAAGAGTTATGTAATTCTGGGTTTGATAGCACTCCCCAGCAAAGAGGAATTAGATAGTCAACAGACCATTTGAGTCTGATTAGTCTCAGACTGGCTTTTAATTTGATATGCATGCAGACCTCAAATTGCCAGGCGGATAAGTCGTCCATCAGATCTAGACATGCATGGCATTAGAGGATTTGTGGTTCAGCTGTGGACCAATCATTTCTGCTTACAGAAAAAATTAATCGAAATTCCAACAATGAAAGTGCCTCAAAAAGAAGAACATTTCTCTGAAAGTGGCTGCTCTTTCATTTGTCATACCTTATCAGGGTTATCTTCAATCCACTTCTTCACTGTATTCAGAGCAATGTCTGCTGCAGGCTCATTGGGATAGCCTAAGGAGACAGTGAAAACAGTGTAAACACAAGTTAAACTTAGCATGCACCCACCCACCCAAAAAAAAAAAGAAACTGAGTACGGCAACAAAGTACATTAGTCTGGAAAGTGATACTTCCTCAGGTAGCAGAAGCATTGCTATTAAATGAATAAAAAGCAGCACAACCTGCTCTTCTTAGTGAGATAAGACCAAATGTCTCATCAACTGCTGTTGACGAGTGCTGCCAGATGCAGGGTGATGTAAAAACACAGACAGACAATATTGCAGGGTCTTTAAAGTGTTGATACAAGGTACATAGAAAGAAATCACACCCTTACTCATTACCACCTCAAGAAGAACTGATTAATGTTTTATCTTTATGGGGAAATTACACTTTGATGTGTGATCATGCACACTATTCTTTTATTTTATCAGCTTGCCAACATGAACCTGTAGTCTAGACACAATGCAGCAAACTATCATATTAACAGTTGTGTTTAAAGGGTGTTAACACTAAAGAACAACTGTGCTGTGATTATTTTCTAATTAGACCAGGAAAAAGAAGACTGCTTGATACTAATCTTAAAATCACTTGCTGCTTCTGTAGATAACTTCACAGGACCAAACTCCAACAGCGAAATATAGACTTGAATAGATAGCTTGATTGAGTAAATAGGCCAGTACCAAAAGAGCTGAAAAATTGCTAATATGAAGTTCTTCAACTTTCATTGATCAAAAAGGAATCATTGCTTTGCTAAATAAAAAGTTATGACAATTATAAAGCAAACATTTTTCTGCTTCCAAGTGAAAATTGGATCAGAGAATAATCATGTACTATGGGTTATTATCTTCTCTTTTCCATGTAAGGTTCTACCGTTTCTTTGTTTCATTTTTTTTTTTTCTGAAAAGAACCATTATCATAGTTTTAGATGCCCTCTTTGGTTTCCCACAGAAAGTACCCCTGGTTCAATGATTCAATGTGCAGCTGTCACACAACTATTGATAAAGGTATTGCTTCCTCTAACTACATGTAATCTCTTTGTTTTTGTTGTGTGAGTTCATGATTTGGCTACATCTCTGTCCTGAAAAGAGTCACTGATAGAGAATTTCCTATCAATAACTATATGTTCTGTCATGTTTTAGGTTTCTAATGAAAGTAATACTCTCCCAGTAATATAGCCTTTAGTTTGGTCTCTTTTAACGATAGAGCCTTAGAGTGAGCTATTGCTACAAGTAACTATGGGGAGTCTTTGTTTTTGTTCCTTAGAAAATACCTCTGGCTCCAGGATTTGGTTTAGGATACAATAAAATAACACAACGTCTGTGTGGGGAAGTTTATGCATCAGTGAGCAAAGTCATGTATCCCAGAGGCAGAATTAAGGACGAATAGAAGCAAACGCATATACACAAAAGTGTAAAAGCTATGAAAAGATAAAAAGAATATGAGACTTTGCAGTAAGGGCAAATTTGCAATACAAGAGACTGCATTTAGATTTAACTCCAACTTTTACTCTGCAAAGGCGGTGACATATATTGATTATTTTCAATGTATAACTTTTTCTTACAGACAGTAAACAGTACTGGGTCAAGGCTTCAATTTTTTCATATTGCGACTCAGCTCCTAGTAAGTATTGACCATGGGCCACTCATACCGAACAGAGTTCTGTTGGAGGTTTCCCACTGTTAAAAGGTCAAAGAGGACTTGCTGCAATTGGATAGTCTAGTTGGAATTGTGATTATCTGAATTGTATTTCTCAATTTCTTAAACACTATATTACCTTTAACTGGATATAAGCTGAGATTTTATTTCTTCTAAAATGCCCTAAGAAAGTATATAACTAAACTTAATTGAACATAATATTATGTCTATAAAAGATGTCAGCTTTCAATTATCTTACAGAGTCCTGGATGTTTCCAAAATTTAATAACACTTTAGAGATACTTGAAAAGGCAGTGATGAATTACCATCTTGCCAGAGAAAAGCTTGACGAAAATAGGTGATCTAAAAACCTCCAAATATTAATATTTCTTTTTGCTTTTCTACAAAGACTGATTGCGCTTTTAAATGATGGAAAAAGATAACATGGTTGAATAACTTCACATTAAACCTGAGGTGCATGATGTACTGGGGTAAGGGGGTAGGTGGAAGAAGTGATGCATGTCGTCTTGTGCCAACTTTTGAAGCTTATGGGGGCCATTTTATTATTTAAGGTTGTCAGACCAGGTTCAGCAATGTGCCCAAAAAAATTAGGTCACCTGTCTCCTCAGAAAATACAAAATGAACTGGTTTTTCCATCAATAGACTTTCCTTATTTCCTGAAAGAGCATGACTATTCTGAGAAGACAATGCCAGAACTCATCAGGGTCAAAATATGAAAAAGTGGATCACACAGCTGGAGACATTATGTCGAAATGGATCCACCTTTTAACTCCATCTGGAATGATGAAGACTCTGCATTCATAGAAACACAGACTCACAGATGAACCTTAAATTTTACATACATTCTTTAAGGTAGTTTGTGGCTGCCCTGCTGCATCCTATAAGAAAGATTGTCATCATGCAACATTCAGAACCCAAAAAAACAAGCAGAGCATTTTTCTTCAGTCTAAATGAGCCCATACAAGATTTACAGCTCTACTTAGAAACCCTTGACTCTCATACGGTACCACAGGGTTGAAGGAGACACTATAACAACAGAGGTTAATACCTCAATTTCAACCAGCACCGACTAATCCAATGACCTGGTCACAGTTGCAACTTGTTAGTTAGTGCTTTGGTCATATTTTCAAAAATATAGATTTCTATTTTCTTCAGTCATTGACTTTTTCTTATGACCCATGAAACAGCTTTACAAGCACAATATTGACTTGTCCTTTACCAGGAATGTAAAGGAAACTAAAAGGCTGCAAAGATTTGACCTAACATTTTCTGAATTCTTTTATCTGTGACTCAGGCCACCTCTTGTCAAAGCCGTTCAGTAACTACTACTGAAATTGTCTTAATCAACTGCCTAAAAAGTCAATATAAGACGCATGCACCTAATCCTCTAAACCTTCACCTATCTGACTGCTGTTGATGTCTCTCTCCTTTTCTCTGTTTTTTTCCTCCTCTTTCCCAGCTTGACAGGAGTGGCCAAGTTACACTGATGAGAGGAGAGGGGGCCAGAGACACTGCCAAGCCCTTGCAGAGTTCCCGTTCAAGCTTAGGGAGAAGCAAGATGTGAGCTGCATACCAGCCAGAAGTGACAGCCAGCCTGCTCCTACAGCTTTTTTCTGTAGCATCTGCAGACAGAGCAAAGTCTGTTCACAGCTCCTGTACTTTAGAAAGGAACCCCCAAGAGCCATGCGCTCTGAAGCTAATCCAGAATCGCAAAATCTGTAAGTCACCTGACTTCTCTTCCATCTAAAGCACACTTAACCTTTTCAGAGACACATTTTTAATGCTGACGTTTCCCTTTGAAGAGCTGTTTCCACACCTGTGCAGGTGTACCAACAGCAAACTCGCACATCAAGTAGCTTAGGAAAACAGATGTGCAGAAGACAGGAAAGCTGAGAAAAATAGTTTCAGGGAGATAGGACCAGCTGTTCACACGGCAAAAACACAAGAAGTGTCAGAAGCGCTTAAACAAATTAAATATATGGTATACACAAAATCAAGTATCTGTCTCTGACCTGCATTCTGAACACAGCCTGATAAACTTCATGCAAAATGGAGTCTAAAACATATTTCCTCCGGGTCACTAGAAGTGAGCTTCAGAGAACATTTAATCTGTTTAGAGCAGACTTCTACAAATGTTCTATTGATTTGACAAGTATACCTATTAATGATAGCAGCACAGGAAGGAAATGGGAAACAAGGTGAGCCAGAGGCCTAATTAAATAAGATAGCATAAAAGTAGAACAATACATTTAAATTGCTGACAATCAGAAAAGACATCAGAGAAGGAAGGCAAGAAACAAGGTATCAGTAGAGCTGTGGGTGGCCTGGCAGAAAAATTCAACAATACAACGTTAACGGCTCCAAATTGAGCAGATCAGCAGCTTTCTCTCGTTATGCAACTATAAACCCTCCTCCCCTCTCCTCTTTTTGTCCCTCTGTCTCTTTCAGTATGGTTAAGTGTGTTTACATGGAGACCAGCGGATATAATAAAATACTTTAAAACCCAACCTCTAGTACTGCTCTTGGGCCTCCGAGTCAGGTACTATCCAGCAGCTCTGCTGATACAATCCACTTTCTAAAAGACATTCAGCAGAAGATTGAGTGAGCAGAGTCCTTTATATGCCTAAGTGCACACAAAATGCAAAAATTCTGTTCTACTTCTACATGTGTTGTCCCAAACATCTTCCTTTTCAGGGTTTCCTGTGTGCAGGGTTTAGGTGAAGCCAATCTGTCAGCTGTTGAGGCATTAGCATTAGCTACAGTGATGGTGGGCCCTCCAGGGTCTGTGCTCTAGTTGGCTCGCCTCTCTACTATGCTGGGAATATGGCTGGCTCAGAGAGATTTGTCTTAGTGAGGTGCACTGATGGGAAATGTACAGTGTGGTGCCCCTGATGAGGGCTCAGGTGGCGCAGTGTTATTTCTGCTGAAGGCTTCTCTACTTTATCACCCAGCAGAGTGCAGCATCCAGAGAGAAGATGCTAAGGGAACCCATGCCATGTGCCGTATCTTATGAAGACATTTTGTGGTAATATTTGCATAAAACAGCCAACAATGTTAAAACTGCTGTAAATAAAACATTAAAATCATAGTATCTCAAGTTTATATAGGAGTAGTCAGTCTTTCTAATTTCCTATTAGTTTATTTAACCAGTTTTGAAATATATTTAAAAGTGCATTAATAATTAAATTTAAAGGGGAGTTCTAAAATTGTTTAACTAAATGGGTACTCATGTCTAAGAACCCTAAATATGTTGTCTGAACATGTGTCTACAGTATGTGTTTTGACTGATATTGTATTTTTTGATCTTGTGTTGTTTTGTCTTCCAACCTCAGAACGACAGATGTAAATTAGCAACTATG